TTTTTTTTTTATTTGCTTACATTTGTGTATGTGTTAATGTTAATATACAAAAGACATTGAAAGAAAGAATACTTAGGAATTAGGTGTTTTTTGATACAAATAAGTTTATTTTGGAGAAGCATAGAATGTGAGGGGCATAAGATTTTAAAAGTGTGAGAGACATTATTTGTATGTACATACAGTCTTTCTCGTTTAAAGTGTAATTTTTCTACACTTGTTGGTAACGGGCGTTTTTATTCCTAAGTTTCTTTTTTCAGGTGTAATTGTTTGATGAAGAATACAGTTTGCTACTGATTATCCTATGATTAAAAATGAGTTTTAGAGTGATATAAATACTAATAATCCAATGACTCAGTCTTTGTTTACCAGTGTTTTATTGAGAAAATTACAGATTTTCAACCAAACCGTCTCAAGCCAAACTATATTTTTTAGGATGCCTCCGGGAGATTCACTAGATGAAGGGAGCTCAAATTCGGGTTATAGACTTATGGTCTCTGAAGGAGTCGATGAAAAAATGCAAGAAATGGATTGGGTAAAACTGTTTACTTAGTATTTTGGCCTTACGATTATTCTCAGCAGTAACGATCTTTTTATTTTGCATCAAATACAGTGGCTCCAAAAATTATTTCATTTTTTTCGAGTAGTTTCTAATTTTATACTTTATTTTCTTTTGTTTTCACTGGAATGTTTTCTTCCGGGAGGGACCTTTTTTTTTCCGTTGAAAACATATTTAAGGAAGATAAAGTCATGGAGGAAGCACGGTACTGCAAAGCCATTTCCGATGAACTAAAGGATGCTGGTTGTCCTTTATTTGGTGGTGCCTATCACCAAAAACTTCCTGAGAATATCAGGTGCTTGATGCTATCATGATCTTTGAAAACTAGGATTCAAAGTAGTTAAAAAATTCTTGGGTTTTGTTCCTTGTTGATGAACTAGTGTACAGTAATCATTTCTGATTGAGTACTTCTTGGATTAGGATTGCTCTTTTTCTTATAAAACGAACTTTTTTTAGTGTTTTTTCCTGTCTTTTAATACAGATGATTTTAGAAGAAACTCAACGAAAGCGAAGGGGACACCTGTTTTTTAGAACAGATCTTTTTACTCTGTTTTTTATTGCATTAACTGAAAGTTTCTAGAAAGTTTCAGGAAAAAAGCTGCATTACTAGACTCAAAGTTAGATATGATGCTAAGTTTTCACGTTCCTATGAGTTCTACCAGTGTTTACGATAAGCTACGCTTATTTTTGGCTCAGGGGAAACCACTCAGCAAATTTCGTGAAGAAAGTAAGGATGATGTAATTAATTCAGTCAGATTTCTGCTTTTTTTTGTCTTAGTCTGCCAGAAGTTTACGAAGCTATAAAATAATTGTAATTATTTCTAGTAAAGCAGTACGATTTTTCGTTGAAGTGTAACGCTGTATGGTCATCGGATGCTATTGCGTACCGCTGCAACACTTGTGCTTACAACCCTTGTATGCTCCTCGTATTTTGTTGAAGTTAATGCAAGCATTTCTTATGGTTTGGAAATTTTAATTTTGGCGCTTCAGTGGAAATTTTTTTCACACGTTGTAATCTTTCAGGTATGTCTTTGTGTCTGGAATGCTTTCAAAATGCTAATCATGAGGGTCATGATTTCAATCGTTTTTTTTCTCAGGCAGGCGGGGCGTGTGATTGTGGTAACTCTGAAGTTCTTCGGGAATCTGGGTAAGTCTTCATTAAAAGTTATTATTGTGCGTACATTGTATACTGGTTGATTTTTTAGTTTCTGTTCACGCCACGGGCGTAATGCTAAGCGGCCTCCTGTACCGTCAGCAAATGTAGTGTCACTTGCTGAATTTGTTATTCCTAAATTATTTGTTCGTCTATTCTTACATTTTCGCGGCTGGGTATGTCAACATTTCTCCTTTTTAACACTTTCTTAAATTATTTTTATAGATTTTGTCTTAAAAGTCTTCCTTCTAAGCCTATTTTGAAATTTTGAAAATTCTTCTATCTTACATCGTTTCTTCTGCTTGACTGCAAAGTTAGATATAATGCTAAGTTTTCTTAAATTACCTATATTGGTCAAATGAGCGGCAGTATAGCAGCCTTACCGTGCATAAAAATATATTTTCAAGCATGGAAGATATGTGCGGACTGCCGAAGAAAGAGCAAATGGAGCAGAATTGAGTAAGGAGCTTTTCAGCAGTCAGATTGTTGGCGAAGTTAACGGACTTATAGGACTACTTCAGGTGTGCTTTTCATGTATTATTCCTGGCTATGATATTTTTTTGACTATTTTCAATTAAAAAAGATAGCTACTGTTATTAGTATCATTTTGAAAAAGTTTTAATAAAACATTCACTTTTAATTGGTGGGAATTGGTGGAAGAGTTAACGTAGATTTTTGTACAATTCAAGAATGTAGCAGTGTATGATTAGTGTTCCATTGTAATATTTGGAGAACTTAGATAACTTTGAGTTTTTCTTTGCAATGCATAAATGAGAGGTAGTTGAAGTGGTATCGTCACTTCTGAGCTTTTCTCGTCTTGTGTGTGATTGGGAGGTAGGTTGTGCTTCAACTCGATTGTTGGTTTTAGTAATTTTTACGTCACCCCCAAAAGCATGTTTTCTAAAAAGCTAAAATTTTTAGGATCTAGTGGATTACGGAGGTCCTCTTCGTGATGCCGTAGCGAGAACACTTTTGGATAGTGAGATTTATGAGGCGTTGACTTCAAGAACTTCTGGGGAAGACTTGCAGGGTACAGTTTGGACATATGTAGTGTAGTACTTTTTTAGATTAGTTTGGATAAATTATTATTGTATTTACTGGAATTTAAGCTGAAGTTTTTTTAGAGAAAAGCGGTAGAATTGATTTTTCGTTGGATTGGCGTTCAAGGAAGGAACTTGAAGACGATGCGAAAAATTTCTGCAGTGTTCATGGTTTTCCTCACACTGATATTGGTTTTTCCAATATGTTGGATGAACTTGTATTTTATTTAGTGCGTCTTCTTTTTCCGCAATCCCTTATCAACCTTTGCTTAAGTATGCTTTCGGATATCGATTACAGAGTATGATTTTCTAATATTTTTTAATTTTTGTTTTAAGGTTTTACTTGTTTAGCCAAATTATCAATCATGAGTTTATTGTAGAATCATTTTGCTTCACGCTTTTTTTTCCTCTATCCAAGGATTGCCGAGATGATGGTCGATTTAGCAAAAACTGAAAGGAATTCTGTTATATATGCAGTTTCTGCGAGAATAATACAGTCTACAGTTCAAGTTAGATAATTTATTGCTTTTTCCTTCAGTCTTTTCCAGTTAAACAAGTGACTGTGGATTTGGGTCTCTAGGTTGTGTTCAATTCGGAATTAGCGGATAAATTTTTAGTCGAACATAATAGGAGCACAATTCTTCTAACTATTTCAAAAAACCTCTGATTTTTTGTGCAGATATTATCAAGCGAGGCTATGTGCTTGAAGCTAGATGACGATATTGGACTTGTACATATCATAGTAGTCAGCACCGAAGGGCTACTTAGTGTCGGTACTCAAGCATCAGCTATATCTCAGGGTTTGTGTTTTTTTTATCTTTTTACATACATGTTTTTCACCCTCATTATATAATTCAGATAAAGCAACTTTCTATTCGAGCGTTGCATCACTGCGGTTTAGAGAAGCTGGACCGAAATGGCAAGTTTACTCTCTAGACAATAATAAGCCACTTCGGAAGCACGCATATTGGACTCTAGTTAGCGACATGCAAAATCTGCTGGCCCACCCATCTGTTGCTCGAAGATTTTTGCGTAGTGTGGCAACACTGGAGTCTTATGCTTCTATAATCTCTAGGATGCAAGGCAATTTTTTTTCTTTTTGAAATGCTATTTTTGGGAGGGTGAGCTTTTTCTACTATTAATGAACGAATGATGGATTTTTTTGGAATTTTGGTTTTTTAGCGCCTGTAAAGCATTACTGTCAACTTATTTTGCAATGATGTAACTTTTAAACTCTTAAAAATTTCATTAAAAGTTTCTTTAAGGGATGAATGCGATGTTTCGCGTTGTTAGTGGCGACCATATAGAGTTCGATACATCGCAGCCATATCAGGTACGTTTAAAGACTCTTTAAGATTTTTTCCCTGAAGTTATTTTATTTTTGAATAAAATTTTTTAATTAGGGTATTTACAGAATTTTCACTCGCTAGCAAACAGTTTATATTATTACAGCTTTCCTTTCATCTTGAGTGGGAAGTTTCTGCTAAAAATATGTTCAACGCTTTGTATGCCTTAACTGACGAAGTGGACTGTATGGTGGCTTATCTTTCTTTATGGAAACGTCGTTTAAGTGTATGTCAATAATTTCTGATGTTTTGAATTAAAATTAAGATTAATTCCTAGACCTTTTGCAGTTTTTCACCGAATATTTGAAATATAAAATTCATTTTTGTTTTTAATCTTTAAATATGTCTTCTGCATGTTAAGTACTATCTTTATCTCTCCAAATTTTGGCCTGAAGATAGTTTTTAATATAATTTCAGCTTTTAGTATTATTCTTTATTGTGATTTGTGGGGTTTGAAAAGAGAAAAACTAGATGTGTTTTTTGCATGAATTTATACAGTTCCGCTATTTGGTGGTTATTCTTGTTTATTAGAGTCTAAAAATGTTGTTCTGATATCTTTAAAGAAACCTTCAGGACTGGCTCATTTCGATAGGTATGGGCGACGATGACTTGTCCACCCCACCATACGTAATAACATACCATCTTGCTTTACATCGTCATTTGGCTGCGGGCATTGAATGCTGTTTGAGGCAACAGGCTTTCCGCCATCTCCTCAGCTCTATATTACTGAATGACGAACAGTTTTTAAGAAAGATCTCATTACATCCTATGAGAATCCAGGTTTTTAGAAGATATCAGTATAATCGTTTTTTTATACCACTTAGCTTCTATTACTTACGTTTTTCAAGTACCAATTTTCTATCATATTTGTCAATATGATTTTGATTTTGAATTTGCTAAGGTTTGTCGAGCAGAAACTGCTGCTGGAATGTGGGCGCGAAACGGAAATGCTGCTCGAAATATGTCGTTTTATTACGCGCAAACGAATTATAATACTGCGTTTCTCGACTGTGATCTCACATTGTTGAGGTTTGTTTCCTTCTCTTTTTTATTTTTCATCTTTGTGTATATATATTTTGTTGCTTTGTAGAAATAGTTATTGATTTGATTTCCAACTTTTACAGATTTATTGCTACCAGTTGTGACCCTGTCTGGTTCTTTGATGCCCTTGCAGCTTCATTCTTTTTGGATGAATGTTTAAAGGGGAATTGTATATCGGAGATGGCTTTAGTGTCAAACAAGATAGTGACAAGGAAAGAGTGGTGTGTGTCCCTTATTGAGGGAGTATTAAGGTAAAGTAGTAATATTTGTGTTGAAATAGTTTAACAAGCTATTCCTTGTGGGTTTAAGAAGCTTATTAATAGTTTTTTTAAATCGTAGATTGATCATTGAATTGATTGCAATAAGATGGAATGTTGGCGGAGAAGAATTAGAAAGCATTGAGAAAGAAATAGTAGCTGCTTTGGCGATAAGTGATCTAACGCACTCAAAACTGCGAGGCTCAATTCCTGAACAAGGAAACCGGAGTAACGCGATTGATGATCATATGGACGAACTTCTTTCAAAGGTTTGTTTACAATGCCTTTTAGTACTTCTTTTTGACGCCTTAAAAGTGTTTTATGTTTTTCACTGTTAAATTTACCGAACTGTTATTAATTATATTCCTTTCTAACTTTTCTTTTATTCTTAAGTCTTACGAGAGGCTGAAAGTTTTCTTAGTTGTTTAAACTATTTTACAAGACCTAATTCAGAGGCCTGTTATGTTAATGTTGTGCTTTCTTAGTCACTGTAATATTCAGGTAGCTCGCTATGATGAACCTGATCAAGGCGGTCATATCCAGCAAGGAATGTATCGATTAACTAGTGAATCCTGGTGGACCAGATTTGATCCAGTTTTTTGCTGTACAAGATCTACAGTTGCAAAAGAGTACAACGACGCTTTGCTAAGGGCGGAAGAAGTGTATGTCTTTTTCACTGAATCTGAGCGTATGCCTTTATAGTGTAACGGGCATAAACTGCATCTTGAACTAACGTTTGAAACTAGTTTATATCTCGGTTTACGACACTTGAACCGACGCTTCAATAAGAGTTTAGGGATATGCAGAGAGTCTAGATTGTGAGTTACGCTTGTTTTTGGTCTTTAGATCAATGGCATTCTGCTATCCAGGTAACTGGTGCATTTTTGGGGAATTTTGGCTCTACTGAGTTATGGACATATAAAGATAATTCACCGTTAAGCGGTTTCTAAAATAAAATAAATGGATTTGAAAATTTTTGATTTGCTTTGGATAAACATGCATTTTTAGGGAGAAGGCAGCGGCTAGTCGTACCATGCTGTTACGGATTACTGGTCATTTCTGGACCCCGTATAGGCTCATTGATTTCGATGCCGATTCTCCTGAAGATCATTTTTGCGAAATCACAAACGTCATTGTAACTCCGATATGCTTCGCTGTTCTTCGAAGAATCTTGACGCTGGTAATTTAATTGTTTTTAGCAAGTTACTGTCGGCACTTATGACGACACCTTTCGTTAGCTGTTTTGCTATAAAGTGCATATAATACTCTTTGCACAGTCTTAAACTAACTTGAGTGCCACGTAACTTGTAGCAAATACTTCACGAACAGCTGAATGAAGACATTTTGCAAAGAGTTGTTTATCTGTTCACACTGGCTGCCAAGTTTGCTGTGTCAAAACGTTTAAGTTTGTACTATAAGCGAATTGAACACTTCGAGTCAGCCGTGTTGAAAGACCTCCCGTTCAGTCCTGAAAGACCAGAGGGAATGGACGACCGTGCCTTCATTCTTTCAATGTTTACCTTTTCTTCCAGGTTTGTTTTTGAATGATTATATTTTTTGCGGTATAAAACAGAGTTTCTTGTTCAATTTTGGATTTAAAATCGTCGATGTTTATATTTAAAGTTTATATTTTTCTTTTTTTATTGTAGAACCTTACCAGATTCACGGTTTTTGATGATTGTTTTGTATAGTGCAAGTTCACTTTTTCTTAGTAATTACTGGTAGCGTTTTATATGACTTCATTTTTCAAAAAACAGTTTACTTTAATCAATTTTTGAGTATTTGTGCTTGAGATTTTCTTATTTTTTGAATGTATAGGTTATTCATTAGTTTTATTACGTTTCATTATATTCGCAGAGATAGCTACTAAGTAAAATTTTATGGAGTAATGAAAATGTTATTCCTAAACGTTTTTTATTTAGTTCTGACCGTTCCGTACTTTCGCTTCTGTTATTTTATGTGAGTGAGCAGTTTACGTCGCTAGATTCAAAGATGGACGTAAAGTGGTTGGTAGCTGAAGCCCTCATGGAACAGTTGCAGAAACCGCTTGAACAACTGGATCGCATTTCGGGTGGTGCCGTTGAGTACATTGGCAGGCTTCTGAATATTCTTTTCCATCAGTTAGTTAATTAGTCGTCGCTAAAATTTGGATTATCATGTTTTCTACCTCTGAAACTTGTACTTCTCAAATTTTTGAGTTGGATTTTTTTTACCAGACTCGTTTTAGTGAATAAGTCCTTTCATTTAGAAAAAAAACACGTTGCTGTTTTTTCACCACGGCTTTAATAGTCATTTGCTTGTATTTTGTTTTTTTTAAAAATGGTTAAATAAGCTTTCAACTGTCTCAACTATTAGATTTTAAAGAAATTTCTTTAGCGATCCTCTTTGTAAGAAACAAATTGAAGAATATATTGGTGAAATCTCTGAGCTGCACACGGTAAAAAGTGACGATGCTATTGCAAAATCAAAGGCTGAGCGACGTTTAGCAGCCAAGAGACATCAGGAAGTAAATAATTCTTAAACATTCATTCCGACAGAAGTTCCACTACGTAGCTGTGTCAGATTGTTCAGACTCATTATTAGGGAAGAAAGTTTGTATGAAATAGGAACTCAGAGTATTTTCAAACTGTTTTTGCTTTATGAGCAGCCACTAGAGTTTTCTGGGCTTTAAGGCTGTTCTGGCAGCTCATTTGAAAAAGAATGCTTCGCTGATGGTTAGAATGATGGAACGTGAAGGGCTGAGTCAAAGCGAGATGGACGAGATGGATATTAGTGTTGTAAGTTAAAATATAAAGTTCTACTGAAAATTCATTCGTTTCACTCCACCACTTTAATTCACTTTAATTTTGAAGGGCGGTACCTTTGTTTCTTCTGAAATCTGCTACAAGTTGTTACTAAATTTATCTTATTACATTTTTACAGTGACTTTGTAGAGAGGTTTTATAAATAATTTCTTCTACGACAATTCTTTCATACGGTTACTATTTAGAAATCAGAAGTCCGGCACTATGACTGTCCAATTTGCGGTTATACCACGACGAGCACTTTAGACCATCCTGTTGGCCTTCTTGTTCATCCGTTTAATCATTATGGTGATTTATCTTCTGATCACTTTGAAATTGCTTTCTGGACATCTTTTTTACTATATTTTAGGTTTCTAAATTTTTTTAGCTATTTCGCAGTCCGTTTCTATGAAGGAACCAAATTTTTCGCTCCTTGAAGAAGACGACAGGACCCTTGAAAACAAAGGGTGTTTAACAGGAAGAGTAACTCTGAAGCATTGGGGACTGGAACGTAGAAAAATCTTGGAAAAAGTATGGTTAATTAAGGCTTATAGGGCTAAAAATGTTTATTTTGTCTTATCACTTTGCTTTTTGCTATAGAACAAACGAAGCCAGCTTCTCTTTTTTGTACTCTTTCTGGGTAATTTGAACTTGCTCGTTTTTTTTTTTTTTTTTT